ATGCCCTCCTGGAGGAGCAGAGCAAACAGCAGTCCAATGAGCACCTCCGCCGCCAGTTCGCCAGCCAAGCCAACATCGTGGGGCCCTGGATCCAGACTAAGATGGAGGTGAGGGGCCATTGCCCTAGCCCTAGCCCTGCTGAGCCTAGGGCGGAGTGGGAAAGAGCCCCTGGTAAGCAGGAGGTCAGTGAGCAGAAAAAGTTGTCTGCCCTGCTGGAACATCTGTGCTCCCAGGGCCAGCGGACCTGGAGGCCTAGTGGGTGTGGGTCCCAGCTCTCACCAGCTGGGAGCCCTGATCCTTGGTGGAGTTAGGAGGGTGGATCAATGATATGAATGGAAGTGGCAGCACCACCCAGCGGGCTACTTGGCTGAGGAGGCAGATGGAGGTAGGTTTGAGTCTTGACTCTGCCCTTGATTGGTGCTTGTGAGCAATTTAACCTTGCTCCTCGGTTTTCTCATCTCTGAAATGGGGGTGAAAAGAGTTATTTCATTTGCTCCACAAATGCTGTTGTGCACTGCTCGGTGCAGGCCCTGCTGCAGGCGCTGTGGTCAAGGTGGTCCCAGCTCAGACCCTCGCGGCGTCTCACAGTAACCCTTGTGGCCTAGCCACAGGAAGGTTTGTAATGATGCCAGTTGCAACTCTGACAACCTCTTACTAAGTGCTTACTACCCACCAGGCTCACGCTGACCAGCGCAGCCTCGCTGAAACTCCGACAGCTGGGGAAGGGTATGGGCTGGTCGGCCCTGCCAGCTACACAGCATGGCCACGGAGGGAGCGAAGGCAGGGGCTCTAACATCAGCCAGGCCTGGTGCAGACTCTGACTCTGCCTTTACTGTGAGAAGTTGCTTTGTTGGGCCTTAGTTTCCACATTTGTAGACAGAGCCTGTCACAGTGAGTCAAGGTGCATTGAGGTCAGGCATGTGTAATACTTAGCACAGAACTCTCCAGTGTGGTTGCTTTTACCCTGGAGGGTGGGCAGAGAGGGACCATCATTGAGGCAGAGGCCTTTTAGGAGGAGGGACCCTGGGAGGGAGGCCACCAGAAACAAAGATCTCCTCTGGGTGGCTGGTTGTGGCCAAGGGTCCATCAGCCCCACCCTCAGTGGCACCTGCCTTGTGTGCAGGAAATCGGGCGCATCTCCATCGAGATGAACGGGACCCTGGAGGACCAGCTGAGCCACCTGAAGCAGTATGAGCGCAGCATTGTGGACTACAAGCCAAACCTGGACCTGCTCGAGCAGCAGCACCAGCTCATCCAGGAGGCCCTCATCTTCGACAACAAGCACACCAACTACACCATGGAGGTACGCTATACCCCATCAGGCCCCCACACCCCGTCGGTAGCACGGAAGAGCCCTATGTAGTCCAGCAGGGAAGGCATCTGCAGCTTCCTTGGTCTCTTTTATCCTGACTGAAAAGACTAGATCAAAATGTTTACACATTTTTTAATATCACTGTTTTCCTAACACTGTTCTCCCAACACCATGACAACACATCTCAGGACAAGCTCCTGAGAGCTGGGAGGGTAGCACCAGCCCCTGCTGTGGCCTCAGCACTGAGTCCTCACTTGAGAACACAGATCCAGCCAATGTGTGCCAGCATCTGTGTGTACCAGCTCTCTGCGGCCGAGTTACACTGTCAGGGCTGCTTATCATCATGTTGGTAGCCTGAAATCATCCTTGGTGACAGTATTTACACCATGCACATGGCAGATGCTACAAAACGGGGAGTGTTTCTCCCCAGAAAGCCAATTAAACTTTGCCCAACATATCTCTGCCAGGTTTTCACATAGACCTTGCACAGGTATTGGGCCCTGGCCCTCTGCTACACCTGTCACCAAATATATATTAAGGTTACATGAACTCTGCTGGTGAGCCGAGGCAACAGGTAAGTACCATGCCTCTGTCCCTGTGTGCAAATCAGGTGCACAAGAGAGCATGGGCCTGGACTGGCATTTGGGAGAAAGTCAGGGTGAGCCTCACGCCATGCTATACGCACTCCCATATGGGGGAACCCAGTTCCCAGTGTCCCTCAGCTACAGCTGTGGTGGTCTAAGCACTCCCATCAGCCAGGCCTGCAGTCACACCCTCCCTTCTCCCCCAGCACATCCGAGTGGGCTGGGAGCAGCTGCTCACCACCATTGCCCGCACCATCAACGAGATTGAGAACCAAATCCTCACCCGAGATGCCAAGGGCATCAGCCAGGAGCAGATGCAGGAGTTCCGGGCATCCTTCAATCACTTTGACAAGGTGAGCAACTCCGTCTGCCCCTGGCACCTTCCCTCCCTACTGTCACCATTGTCACTGTCGCATCTTGCCCCTCTATCTTTGCATCTGTCAGTTCATTCACATCACAGTTGCTATGTATCAGCCGCCGCTCACAGGGCTTGTCAGGGCCTCAGCCACAGAAGGTGGTGCAGACGTGCATCACCGTGTCCACAGCATGAGCAGTTTCCCTTAGGAAGAAAAGGGGGGTCCTGAGCTCTGCTTCAGGCCGTGCTTCCTCACCAACCTGCCCATGAGACATGGGACAGACTAAGTCCCAGCACACCCGAGAGTTGAGACCTGACCCGTGAATCTGGTTTACCCAGACACACAGTGTTCTTCAGATTCAGATTTGGTCTGGCAGCCCCTTTGGGAAGGGCCTGAGTGCCAGAGTTGACCCCAGTCCCTATCCACTGCTGGGCCTGATGTGTCCTCTGCCTGCTTTCACCCGTGGGTAGGAGGGTGCAGCCTCAGCCCTGCACCATCAAGCAGGACCCTGACGCCTTGCACAGGATAGAGTGCAATCCCTTTTCTCCCACCCCAGACCCTGGAGGCAAAGTGTGCCTCCCCCCCACACCCCCCGCCCAGTCCTGGGACTCAATCCTCGATTCTGCACCATTCAACTCCCCACCCTGCTCTAGCCCCGAGGACGTAGGAAGAAGCCTCTGACTGTCCTCCAGACCACCCACATCCCTCCACCTGCCCCAGCTGTCCCTGGCCATCACCGTGTCCACATCACTTCTAACTCTGTGTTTCCCTCCTCCATGTGTGTCTCCCCCATCCCCCGGCCCTCTGCAAATAACCCTGGCCCCTCTCCCACCTCTGTGCCGGCCTGCTTTCCACACCGCCCCTTGCACACCTGCCTTTGGACACCCGGCAGGACCACGGCGGGGCGCTGGGGCCAGAGGAATTCAAGGCCTGCCTCATCAGCCTGGGCTACGACGTGGAGAATGACCGGCAGGTACGCGCCCCCTGGGCCCCAGTGGACCATGGCATTAACTGCTCTTCTTTCTCTCTCTCCTTCTCTGTCTCCCCACCCTCGCCATTTCACCCCTCTTCGTTATGTGTACCATCTCACCGGTTCTCTTGCCTCCTTCCTACCTGTGTCTTTCTGGACCCCTTCCCCTTACCTGGTCTCTTGGGGCCGCCTTGGTCTCCCCTGCTCCTGCCACTGTCCTGTTTCCCTGCTGTGCACATGGGTCTGCCCCTCTTGCCTACTGTGGGCCTGGCCTCCTGCTGTCCCTGCGTCCTCGAGCAGAAACAGACAGGCAGCATGGACTCGGATGACTTCAGGGCTCTGCTTATCTCCACAGGATACAGCCTGGTATGCAGCCTCTGCCTCCCTCGCTGCTGTGCCACTCCTCCTCCTCCTGCTCCTCCTCCCCTTTCTCTTCTTCCTCCTCCCTCCCCCTTCCTCCTCCTCCTCCTTTTTGTGCTACCCCAGTCTAGAGTTTCCAGGTCCTCAGGGACACCCCTCCACCAGATCAGTGCAGCCTCACCTCCCCGCTTCTGCTGCATCTGCTGGACTGGGTCCCTCCGATGACTCCCTGAGCCTCCCAGCCCCTCCTGGAGGCTGTGAGGAGAGGCTCTGAGAGAGGAGGTCAGGCCTCCAGCTCTCCCCCCCTTTTCTTTCTCTTTTTCTTTCTTCCCCACCCTCCAGAGTTAACTTGTGAGCCTAGGGCTGAGGAGCAGCAGACCTATTTGATCTGTACCCCACTTCCCAAAAATGTGGGAGGGGAAGAGTAGAGGGCACTCATCCTGTCTGGGGCACATGGGGCAGTTGCCCGGGGAATCCAGGCCCTTAGAGGCAGACTGACAACTTGGAGTGTGCACTGGGGTCGGACCCTGCCCTCCTAGCTCGGTTCTGCTGCCCGGCCCAGCCATCCTGCCCCGCTCAAATGCTGCCTGTCCCCTGCCCACTCCTGCCCCGCAGGGGGATGCTGAGTTCAACCGCATCATGAGCGTCGTTGACCCCAACCACAGCGGCCTCGTGACCTTCCAAGCCTTCATCGACTTCATGTCTAGGGAAACGACCGACACAGACACAGCCGACCAGGTCATCGCCTCCTTCAAAGTCCTGGCTGGGGACAAGGTAAGCCAGACACCTCTGAGCACCTGGGGCCAGCAGGAAGGGGCTCTGCAGTCAGGACTGGGCATGAGGGGCTGGGGGCCAGGGTTGGTGCAGGTGGCCCAAAGTCCCACCCTGCCTTCCCCAGAACTTTATCACAGCCGAGGAGCTTCGGAGAGAGCTGCCCCCTGACCAGGCCGAGTACTGCATTGCCCGCATGGCACCATACCAGGGCCCTGATGCGATGCCCGGCGCCCTTGACTACAAGTCCTTCTCTACAGCCCTGTACGGCGAGAGTGACCTGTGAGGCTCCCATGGAGAGCCCTGACCAAACACCCCCTCCTCACAGCCTCCAGGAGGGGCTGGGAGAGCCCCTCTCCCTGCTGCGGGGCCTCCCTGGTCCTGTTCCTCTGACTCTGTATCTATGCAAAGCACTCTGTTAGTCCTTTCTGGGGGGTGGGGCGGGTGGGCAGGGAGGGGCTGGGGCAGGCTCTCTCCTCTCTCTTTGTCAGTTGGCCAGGAGGTTCTCTCCCGCTCCCCCTGGATAGGGGTACTGGAGACTTTTGGGGGTCAACACTTCTGGTCTGGTAAATATATATGATGTATTGGTTTGTTGTTGTTTTTAACCAGGGGACAGTGGATCCCCACAGCAAAACAGGTCCCCTCCGGGCCCAAGGAATGCCCACCACAACCTGCCCCTTCCTTTTTTCCCCCCTGAGGTCCCTTCAAGGCCTCCCACATCTAGGCCAAAGCCCTATGTGCCTTGTCCAGGAACTGCTCACACCTGTGATGGGCCCAGCAGAGGGCACCACAGCTAACCAATAGGAAAGAGGACCCCACCCTGCTCCCTTCACCCCTCCCCTCCTTTGCGATTGCCAGGAGGTGGGGGAGTGCAGCTCAGTGTCCCCTTCTGCAACAGAGGAGTGGATTGGGCACCCAGCCTTCTACCCCTGCCCCCAGCCGCTCACACCTGGCTTTGTCTGGACCTGGGTCTCTCTCAGATCTTCTAAGGACCAAAACCAAAACAAAAAAACAAAAAAAAACACACAAAATCACCAAAAAAAAGAAAGCTATAAAAAATTTAAACCTTTCAGAGAATTACTATTTACTTTATTAAGTTACGGATTTATTATATAAATATATATTCACCTAGCAACATATCTTTGCCGCCTCTTGCTCATAATGAAGACATAGCTGATTTGCTCCCCTCCCCCAGCCCCTTACTGATTTTTCTGTTGTCTGCCGTCAGGCATGGGTCTCTGGGGACCCTCCTGAGGTGGGGGGTGGGCTGCTGGCCTGGCTGCCTGTTAGTTGATGGTTTTGTTCCTTTCCCATTTCCCTTTTGTTTTATTTGGATTGATTTTTTTTCTTGGTTTCTGGATAAACCACCCTTCTGGGGACAGGATAATAAAACCTAATATTTTTAAGGAGTCTGCAGTATCCTCTCTTTTTCTCCAGTCTCTGTTCTCTAATTTTTAGCAGGGCAGTGATACAGCACCTCTCCGCAGAGTGGGGCAGGGCCTGGGGTGCCACAATCCCTGTTTCCATGTGTGTAAAATAACGCTATTGGGGACCCAGTCAGGGCCAGGCACTATGCTCAGCACACAATCGACTAGCTCACGTAGCCTGCCCAAGAAGGCGCGTCACCACCCCTGTTCACAGGCGAGGAGAGCAAAGCACAGAAGGGCAGTGACCTGCCCAGCGTCACCCGGTGGTGAGTGTGTGGCAGACCCGCTCCCAAGGCCATGCTCAGAAGCACTGCCTGATGTCAGGGCATCAGCCCCCATGCCAGGCAGGGAGGTGGAGGGGCTGGTGGGCTGGTCTGGCTCAGGACCCCCTTGCTGTGGAATAAACCCTGGTCCAGGCTGACCCGGAAAGGCAGGGCTCCTGCAGCTCTCCTGCCTCCAGCCGCAGTCGCTCCCCTGACAAGATCCTAGGAAAAGTGGGCCATCTCCGTCCACTGGGTGAGAGAAGACAGTGAGGGGGCTTGAGGCAGGGGTCTCTCGGGCCGCCTGCCTTAGCGGCCTGGTGCCACTCCCTCCAGCCCAGGCTCACCTGTTGGCGGGTCAGGCAGATGACTCCCTCGCCCCCATCCAAGTGCTGGCAACAGTGGCCTGTGCAGGGAGGGCCAGGTGAGTGCCCACCACCCCATCCCCCTGCTGTGGGAGACATGCTCCCTGTGCCCCAACGCTTGCTAGGCATGGCACTCACAGAAGATGCAGGTGAGCTGGGCCACACAGGACACAAAGCGCTCCAAGTCCACACGCAGACGGCTGTCCCGGTAGCGGCTAGTAAGGGCCTGGGTCAGCTGGTTGTTGAGGTGGAAGCCTAGGGGGAGGCTGCCTCTGAGCCTGGGCTGCCAGGAGCCCCGCCTCAGTATGGCACCACCCTGACTCCTCAGGGAGCTCGGGACCTGTTCCCAGCTCTGCCTCAACCCAGCTGTGTTGCTATGGGCCTCAGTTTCCGCATCTGTCAAAGGGGAACTGTGACAGCCCTGACCCCATAAGGTTGTGTGAAGATGTTCAGTGTAGAGCACTTAGGACTGTCTGGCACATGCCAGCTGTGTCAGTGTTAAACGCAGAATTTCTGCTAGTGGGCCCTGGAGAATTTTTCTGTGTAGCAAAGCATTCTTGACAGTTCCATATGGGGTCAGTTTCTTTATACTCCACATCAGGGGTGATTTCTGAGGTTTAGAAAGCATCTCTGATGAGGAACCTATGCAGGCTTCTAAAAGCTGCAAACACTGGTTCTCCCAGGTCACAGATAACACTCTGGGACTCAAGGTTGCAGGGTGACCCCTCCATGTGCCACAGGTCCAGATAAACAGTTCGAGGATAATTATCAAGTGCCATTGCGATCTGTGCCTTGTCTGGGTGCCATGAAAGTCTTGGGGGAAAGAAGAGGCTGCCCCCTCATCCTGGTGGTGTGACCTCTGGCCTTCATCTGCCCTCAGGGTGGGGTGGGGGTGGGGTAGAGCTGCTGTGCCCAGGGCCATGGGAAACCCAGGCAGGCAGAGGAGGTGAAGGGGCCGAGAGCCCTTCAGCAGCCCTCTCTGGAATTCCTGCTGTCGGCTTCCTCTGACCACTTTTGTGGGCTCTGTATTCTGTGGTGCCTGATGTGGGGTCCTGCCCAGGGCTGCTTGGTCCTTGTGAAGTCCCTCACCCAGTTTACCCAAGGTTCACTCCTAGTGACCATGACCTGGTTACCCCTCCCAGGGCCCCATTGTACCAAGCACATGATGCCCTCACAGACCAAACCTCACTCCCACTCTCCTCCCCTCCTCACTTGGACCTTGGCCTCTTGCCTCCTTTGTGCATGCTGTTCCCTATGCCCAGAGCACCTCTTACCCTCTTGGCCCAAGGCATTCCTCCTCATCTCACACGTCAGAAAACCCCCATAGATAACCCCAGCACGCAGCACCGAGCACCTCTGGGCTCCCACAGTTCCCTGGGCCTCCCCCACCCCCACCCTGACCACTCTGGGCTGTCACTGTCACTGGTAGCTGCTGCCTCTGGACTGGAAGCCGTGGGGGGTCAGCGTGACTCTGGTCACCCTGAGTCCCAACATCAGCCTGCCCAGGGCCGTGAGCAGAGCAGGTGTTCAAGGACTCTATGGAGCCAAGAATGTGACTGAATTGGAACAGGGCTGTTTCTCCTGCTAATCCCCCATCCTGACACCCTACCTGTCCCTGGGTCTCAGAGCCTGCTTCCTGCTGGTCCCCTCCCTGGCTTTCCCTTCTCTAGATGCTGCCGTCACTCCAGCCCCTGCACCCTGACCTGGACTTGCCTCTCCCTTTTCCCTCATACATAATTTAAAATGTTTTAAAGAGCCAAAGTCCTCACGATGCCCCGTGGGCTCTCCTGTCTCCCCCCCACCACCACCACCAATCTTTACTCTGACCACCACTCCCCTCCCCACTTGGCTTCAGGCCCCTGTGTTATCTCCAAGGGGGGCCCTCCTTCACACCAGTCCCTCAGGGTGCAGGTTCACACCTCGGCCTTTGCACTCACTGTTCCCTCTGTCAGGAACACTTGCCCCAGTGTCCCCAAAGCTCACTCCCTTCAGGTCTCTGCTCAAACCTCAGCAAGGCCTTCCCTGACCACCCTGTCTCACCTCACCCATCCCTGCATGCCCTGGCACTCAGCCCTGCTTTCTTTTGCCCTAGCACTTACCACCATCTGACCTAGGGGTTCTATTTGCTGTTGTACCATAGAACCTCAAGGGCACGTGATCGCTTTTCTTCCGCCTAGTACACCAGGCACATACCAGGTGCTCAGTGATACTAAGTACAAACTTGCACCTTCTCCTTGTTCTCTGGCCATTGCTTCTGTCTGTCTGGGACTTTGTTTCTCCCTGTCCCTGTCTCCCCATCCTCTCTCTGATTCCATCCCTCCCCCTCTGCCTTGGGCTCCTTTCTTTCCTTGCACATCCCTGGATCTTTGATCTCCCGATGTCTTACCCTTCACTTGGCTGAGGGGTGGGTGGGGGTCTAGGAGTTCCTGTCTGATTTCCCTCCCCCGCCCCTCCACACAAGGGGGAATGTTGAACTCTTGCAGCCACTCTGTGTTGGAGCCACTTTACAGGCGGCAATGGGGGCTCAAGGGGATGGACTCACATGCCTAGGGAAGGGCCCCAAGGAGCTGTCAGTAGTTGGGATTCCAACCCAAGCTCATGGGAACACAGGACGTTCTGCCACGGTGCCCTGGGGACCAGGGCCTCTCAGACACCAGCTCCCATGCCCTCCCTGGCCCATTACCTCTCACACCTTCCTTTCCCCTCACAGGATTCTCCCTGTGGCCTCTCAGTCCCTGCCAAGAGCTGGCAACAAGCTGAGAGGTCAACTTTGTGGGTGTTGGCAGCTGGGTGAGCTGCTAGGACTTGAAGAGGACAAGGCAGGAGGGGGAGCCAATCCCAAGGCCTCTGTCCATACCTGCAGCATTCAGCGCCAGCCTCAGCTCATGGGAGTTCATGGTGCCAGAGGTGTCCTGGTCGAACTTGTCGAATATGGCCTGGGTGGGGAGGAACAGGTCAGTCCCCCGCCAGGCCCCTGAGCTGCCTGAAAGGGTGTCTCAGGGGCCCGACAGGCTGGGTGCCCACCCCAGCTCCCTCTCTTCCTGGCTTCGTGGCGTGGGGAAGCAGATTTACACTCTGGGTCTGTGTTTCCCAGTTTGTAAAATGGGACCAGTAATGAGAGCTGTAATAAGGTGGTCGTGAGGACACGCTAAGATTACCCACAGGGGGCCTACTGAGGGCACAACAAATGGTGGCTTATCACCATTATTAGTACAGAGAAGCCTTAGACCATTTTCTTCTCACATGGGTTTTGGGGGTGGAGGGAGGATCACCACCTCCCATTACTAGACAAGCAAAGTTGCTCCAAGGGGAGGTACTGGCCTGTGATCACACAGCCAGACAGGGGCTGAGCTGGGAGCTAAAATGCCAACCCAGACCAGAGCCAGTGTTCTTTCTTGATGCCCTAGAGCAGGGATGGAGAATGTCCGGCCCGCAGGCCGTAGAAGGCCCTTGAAATCATTTGTTCTGGCCCTGCCAAGGCATTAGGGGTGAGTTAAATGTTTGTCTAAATATAGCAGGCTATTTATTATTATTATTATTAGTTAAGGTATTACAATGTGTCCTCATCCCCCCCCATTAATCCCCAACAGGCTAGTTTTTAAGACAATAATTTGATATGGCCCATGAATGATGTTATAAATGCCCAAATGGCCCTTGGCAGAAAATAAGTTTCCCACCCCCACTCTACATGGACCACAGAGGGTGATGGAGCAGGGACATCCTAGCCAGATCCCTCCAAGATGGCGTGGTGTGGCCCAGTCCCCCGACTCCCCTGGGGCCCTGCTAGCCCACAGAGCATCTGCGTCCCTATTAGTAAAGTCTTCTCTGTCCAGGAGATGGTTCCACCCAAGTCACCTTACCTGCCACTCCCGGAGGTGGCCCCAGAGCTGCTGGAAGTCGTGCAGAGCCAGGCTTCTGCCATGCTGGAGAGGGACATCTGGTTAAGTCAATGTCCCCAGAAGGGGAGCAGAGGCCCCAACATCACCATCCTCCCTACCAGGCACAGCTCCCTACATACCCCGAAGCACTGCAGCAGCTGCTCACAGGTCCTGAGCCCGATCTCTCCGGTGGTCCAGCTGTGGGCCCTGGCTACAGGAACAAACAAACCCAAGCTCCCGTGGCTGGCCGTCATTGTGATTGCTGGGATTACTGCACCCCCATCTTATAGACGCTGAGGCACACAAAGGACTGCTGGTACCTAACAGCCAGGATCTGAACCCAGGCGAGGGAGTTCTGAGTGCTAGTAGCAGCCACACTCCCTGCCTGTCCCTCAGGGGAGGGGGGCTTATGAGTCGCTGGGCCTTGGCACCGGTCCTGCCGCAAGGCCCACGTGTGAGGCTTCCTGTGGTCTGACTCCCAGCAGCATCACGGATTCCCACACATCGGGGGGCCCTGTGATGACCACTCTGGTCCCAACTCACCAGGCTCCAGGGCAATGCTTAATAAGGTCTGGAGCTGAGGGGCACTGAGTTCTTCCTCCTGGTCAAAGAGAGCCGGTGATGAGGCCATTCACTCAGGCAGCCATTCAATAAGGGGCTCTGGGCCCAGCCAAGCAACATGCTGGGTGGTGCTGGGGACAGGCAAAGGCAGCCCAGGCCTGCCCTCTCCAGAGCTCACAGCCCAGGAGGGTGGTCAGGGCTGCAATGGGGAAGCCCGGGGGCTGCTGAAACCCATAGCGGGCATGTGGCTGACCAGCCTGGGAGGGGCAGGAGAGCTTTCAGCGAAGGGCGCGTTGGAAAGACCGGGAAGGGGGGGGCACAAAGGATGAGAATTCCCAGGCTGAGCAAAGGCCCTGAGGCAGGGAGGAGCTGTGAGCATTTTGAGAGATTTAAGAGGGGGAAATGGAAAGGAAAATTAGACAGGGTGGAGGAGCAATTCCAGGGGAGGGCAGGACCCCCGCAGCCCACTCCTCACCTCTCCTGCCAGCTCCTGAAACAGCAGCTTCAATCCCAGGTCCAGGGGAATGTTGGGGGCCTGCGTGGTGGGGGGAGTTTAGCTGTAGCCAAGAGGGCCCCCACCCCGACCCCGGGCAGCCCCTCACCCTGAGAGCGAGCAGGTCAGCGCTGATCACGTCGTCTATCTCCCTGCGAATTACAGACGGAAATGGGGGAGCGGCAGCTCACTCCGCGCCTGGGGCTGGGGGCCGACGGGGTCTCAGCCGAGGATCGCGTGGGGCCCAGGCAGGATCCTGGGGCCCTGGGCTGGTCCCCCGAGGCCCCGGATCCCGGAGGTGGGTGCCCCCTCCCCCCGGCAGCGGGGCTGGGGGCCCGGCTCACACGGCGGTGTGGCGGCGCTCCGAGAAGACCCGCAGCGTGAAGTCGGCCTCCTCGCCCGCGCGGGTGGCGCTGGGCACCACCAGGTAGTGGCCGGGGAACAGGCGGCAGCGGCGGCTCACGTCGCGGCGGGCGCAGAAGGGCGAGCGGTCGGCGCACAGCAGGCCCCGCAGGAGCGTGCGGCTGTGCGGCGAGTCCCAGAGGCCCAGCAGCTGCGGGCGGGGACGGCGTGACCCGGACGCCCCAGTGCACCCCGCCCAGCCGCGCGTCCCCCGCAGCCCTCCGAACGCCCGTGAAACCCGCCCGTCCCCGCATCACGCCACGGTGCCCCTGGCCTTCCCTGCAGGCTGTCCGAGGCCTTGGGGCCAGTTTAGAGAGAGCCTGGGATGGGGCCGCATCGGAGACTCACCTCCTCCGGGATCTGTAAGAAGTAAGAGCCGGGGAGTCAGGGTGGGCGGGGGAGGACGCCCAGCGCTCCCTCCCGGCCTCCGTCATACCCCTCCCTCTTTCCTTCCCGTTCTGCCCCCATGAAGCCCCTGGCCCTCAGCCCCTGGCCAAGCTTCTCTCTCATCTGTGCCTCTTCGCTCCTTGTCACCTCCCTGATCCTCAGCCGCCCCCCCTTCTCTGACTCCTTCCTGACCCAGACTCTGTGCCCCCCCTCCCTAGCCCCTCAGTCTCCCCCTGCCCCGCCCCCACCCCTTGCTTAGCATGCGTGAGCCCAAGCTCTGTCTCTCTGTGTGTCTCTCTGCTCCCACCCTCAGCCTCCCAGCCCCTCTTGGCCTTCTCGGACACCCCTTAGCCCTGCCTCTCTTCAGCCCAGAGGTCCCACCTGGAACACGTGGAAGCCCACAGTGAGGTAAGTGAGGCCCTGGGCCCTCAGGCACCGCCGGTTGCGCTGGATGAGTGACAGGAGGACAGTGCACTTGGGGACGCGGCCCCCGCGAGCAGGGCCCCGAGCCCCTGCGGCCCCCCAACCCCCCCAGGGCCCATCCTCGTCCTCCTCGTCCTCCTCATCAGGCTCCAGCAGCGTCAGCCGGAACTGGGGGTTGGTCCAGAAGGTCTCTAGTGGGGGAGGAAGAAATGGGGTTACCCGCCTGCGGCAGCCCCCTCGCTCGCCTCTCAGTCCCCTCTGGGCCTCACCGGCAGCTGGCTGGCTCCCGCCGGAGTTGAAGCCTCGCACCCAGCGGCCCTGGAAGACGTGGGTGTGCCAGCCGCCTCCCGCAGGGCTGGGGCCCAGCACCTCCGGGCTCAGCGAGCAGATCTGGACGGTGTTGAAGTGGCGGAGGAAGTCCTGCAGCTCCATCCTGGAAAGGGTCCGAAGTCACACCTGCCCACCCCCAGATCACACGGCCCCCAGACTCCTCAAGTATTGCCAAGTATCTTGCAGACGACCAACCAGTATGTTCCAGAATGACCCCCAAATCCCTGAGCCCTCCAGCTCCCCCAGATTTCTCTGAGTCCTCAGAAATGCCCCACAAATAGCCAAGATCACCAACTCCCTCAAAGATTGTCCAATTGTTTTCAGCCCACAAATATCAAGACCCTCAGCCTCTCAATTACCAACAGATGTCCTTCAGCCCCTCAGTGTTGCCAAATCTCAAGAAATGCCCAGGCGTCACCAAGACCCCTCAGTTGCTCTGAATATTCTCCCTCCCCCTCAACCTCCCAGAGGTTACTATGCCTCCCAGGCTCCCTAATGTTACTACTAATCGTCCTCACTCCCCAGCTTGAAGCTCGTCCCCAAATCACCACTCACATGGACAGTTTCTCCCTTTATGACCCCTCCCCGTGAACCTCTGCCAGGACCCTTCAAGCAGAACTGAACCCTCCCTGCGCCCTGCCAGGGCCTCTCCTACTCACCAAAACTCACCATCCTCCTTCCTCACCAGCAGGGCATCTCGCCACTCCGGGGGCAGCACGTCCCAGCGTGGGCAGCTGGGGAGACCAGGGTGTGAGGGATGGGCAGGTGGGCCCAAGCCCTCCCACCACCCCAGATCCATCCCACCTGTCGCTCCAGGGCCCGGTCCACTCCACACGGCCCCATGGGTTCCGTAGCCGCAGCAGCCGCACCTTGGTGAAGCCCAGTGACATCTGAGGGCAACAGTGTCACTGGCTGACCGGCCTGTGGGTGCCTGGACACCCTCTGCCAGCCCACCCATGGCGTTGCTCACCTTGTGCGTGCCCGTGACTGAGTATGCATGTCCCTTGACCAGCCCATCTTCTGTACGGTACTCGCCCTGATTACTCTGGGCAGAGGATAGGACGATGAGGCCACGTTGAGGGTCAGGACCCTCCCTCTCATCTGTGCCTTCTCTGCTCCTTGTCCCATCAGAGGGTCTCAGGTATGTGGCTGGGACTTGGGGCTACAGCCGGGGGCTGGGGAGTGCTCCTCTCAGAGCACCCAGCTGAGTGACACAGCGTTCCGAGGGGAGGCAGGAGTTGGTGAGTGAAGGGGAGCAAGGAAGCAGAGAGAGGGAGATGGAGACAAGTGACAACACAGATGGAAGGAGGAGAGAGACAGCGGCTTAGAGACAAAGAAAGATAAAGAATAGACAGGGAGACAGAAGGAGGCAGAGAAACATAAGACAGAGCAAGTGGGCAACTGAGAACAGGGTTAAGTAAATGGATGAGTGAATGAGTTAGACCAGTGATGGCGAACCTATGACACACGTGTCAGAGGTGACACGCGAACTCATTTTTTGGGGTTGATTTTTCTTTGTTAAATGGCATTTAAATATATAAAATAAATATCAAAAATATAAGTCTTTGTTTTACTATGGTTGCAAATATCAAAAAATTTCTATATGTGACACAGTACCAGAGTTAAGTTAGGGTTTTTCAAAATGCTGACACGCCGAGCTCAAAAGGTTCACCATCACTGAGTTAGACTGACTCAGTGAATGAATGAGCATGTAATTGGGTCACAGATGAACATATGACCCAAGCTGAGCCCATGAATATCTATCTTGGACTTCTGCTGAGATTCTCAGAAGAGGTACTTTTCCTTCTCAACTCTGGGGCGGTGGGAGGTAACTGTGGGAGCTTCTTTTGGGCCCATGAAGGGAAAGCCTGGCTGAGAGTGAAGCTAACCCAGAAATAGAACCAGGAATAGAAAACACATTCACAATATCTGCTAAGCACCTGGATCCAGCTGTGCCTGAAGCTCATTCATTATGAGAGCAAATAAATATCCTTTCAACTTGTCCATGTTTGATTTGTGAAAGAGCATAAGCCACCAGTGAAAGAGAGGAGGGCATGGAATGCGCCCCCCTCCACACTGGTCCTGGTGGGGTCTCCATGGGAGTCTGACTCTCACCAGGGCAGTGGCACCCACGAGGGACTCCTTGGCCAGGGCATGGCGCAGGGCCGAGAAGAGGCCTGGGGTGTCTTGTCTCAGGTAGAGCACCTCGCCCACGCCACCTGTGAAGTCCACGAAAGCCTCATTCATGTGGCCGCCTCGCATCACCTCATAGGAGCCGTGGAGCCTGTGGGAGCAGGTCTGGCATGGGGGTGCCTGAGGCATGTGCGAGCATCTCGGGATGTGGGCACCTCTGTCCCAGGGTGTGGGGTCCCAGGGGCTATTCCGAAAATTTGCAGATTCTTGAGGTGGGGACTGTGACACACCTAGAAGCCTTGGTGTTTGGGCCACCAGGACTGAGTGATTTGGGGGTGTCAGGAGAGCGCAGGCAGAATTCTGGGCACCCTGGGGGCTGTTTGAAACCTGGGGTCTCTGGGAGGTTGATGTCTCCCTTTGGGGTAATCCCCACGGGGCTTGTCAGGGATTTCAGATCCACAGGATGGGGAAAAGCAAAGATTTGAGGTCCCAGGTCTTCCACCCAATATTTTGGGGAGTGCTTTGGGTTTCTCAGTGGATCAGGAGAGACTGTCTGAGATTACAGGTCTCCCAAGGGACCTATACGATTCTGGTGTTGGTGGGTCTCTAAGAATGTCCTGTGTGACCTGTTGGTGGAGGAAGGAGTTTGCTGTTTGAGGGCTTCAGGGGGTGGTATGCATTAGGGTCTCGGGGGCTGTGACTTGGTCTGGAACCCTTAGCAAGGCATCTAGAAGATCCCAGAAGTGGAGGGGCTCTGGGGGCTGTCATGAGGCCGGGGTCTGCTGGCTGGGACGTAGGGTTGCAGCCGGGACGGGGAGGGGGGTCCTTACTTAGCATAGGCCTTTTCCAGAAGGGGGGCCCAGAACTCATTCCGCTGTTCTGAGCGCACAAACATCAGCTTCCCCTCACGCACCGGCAGCCTGTCATCCACCACGACGTCCACCCAGCAGCCGAACTGCCAGAGCTGGTGGGGAAGGGACAGGGCCTGGCTCAGCTTCCAACCCCCACCCGTCTGGGCCCAGCTCTGACCCCTGACCTTGCTGTACCTGTCCAAAATTCCAGCCCCAAAGAAACAACATCAGCTATGAAACCATGTCACCTGGGGAAACTGAGGCATGAGCAGAGGAACCGAGCTTTACCTGGAAGTGGAAGACGCCGGCATAGTTGTCTCGGAAACCCTGTTCAGGGGGCACCACTCGGTGCAAGAGTCGGGGGTGCAGCGTGAGGGAGGCGGCCGCCGCAAGAAACCAACAGTTACCTTGGAGGAGAGAAGGCTAAGGCCCAGGGAGAGGAGAGGCTGAGGGGGAGCTGAGGGAGGGGGAGGGGAGGTGGGAGGGTGGGAAGGGGGAGATCGAGGGCAGAGGTGTCAGGGTCGCAACTGCAACTTGCAGGATCTGGGGACTTAGGTGGGCTCAGTGGTCTCACCCAGTCTCCCCTGACACACGTCTGTCCGGCTCATGTCCTCACAGATGAACTGGGGCTCGGCACAAAACTCCTGGGGAGATGGGGATTCCAGGCCTCAGCCAGGGAAGGGCGGGAAGGAGCACTAGGAGGTCAGGCGCCTGGGTCCCCTCCTGCCTCATTGCTCCGGAGTAATGAGCGTCTCCAACCCCATGAGAGGCTTGTAAAGCTTCGGGCGGGGGTAGGCTTCTCTGGACCTTCCTGGACCCAGGGTGGTTGAGCCTGCTCTGAGCTGGTCCCACAGTGATCCTTCCTCCCTCAGACCCAGGAGTCCAGGCCCCAGCCCTCCTCCCTCAGACCCAGGAGTCCAGGCCCCAGCCCTCCTCCCTCAGACCCAGGAGTCCAGGCCCCCAGCCCTCCTCCCTCAGACCCAGGAGTCCAGGCCCCCAGCCCCTCCTCCCTCAGACCCAGGAGTCCAGGCCCCCAGCCCCTCCTCCCTCAGACCCAGGAGTCCAGGCCCCCAGCCCTCCTCCCTCAGACCCAGGAGTCCAGGCCCCCAGCCCCTCCTCCCTCAGACCCAGGAGTCCAGGCCCCAGCCCCTCCTCCCTCAGACCCAGGAGTCCAGGCCCCAGCCCCTCCTCCCTCAGACCCAGGAGTCCAGGCCCCAGCCCTCCTCCCTCAGACCCAGGAGTCCAGGCCCCAGCCCCTCCTCCCTCAGACCCAGGAGTCCAGGCCCCCAGCCCCTCCTCCCTCAGACCCAGGAGTCCAGGCCCCCAGCCCTCCTCCCTCAGACCCAGGAGTCCAGGCCCCCAGCCCTCCTCCCTCAGACCCAGGAGTCCAGGCCCCCAGCCCTCCTCCCTCAGACCCAGGAGTCCAGGCCCCCAGCCCCTCCTCCCTCAGACCCAGGAGTCCAGGCCCCCAGCCCCTCCTCCCTCAGACCCAGGAGTCCAGGCCCCCAGCCCCTCCTCCCTCAGACCCAGGAGTCCAGGCCCCAGCCCCTCCTCCCTCAGACCCAGGAGTCCAGGCCCCCAGCCCTCCTCCCTCAGACCCAGGAGTCCAGGCCCCCAGCCCTCCTCCCTCAGACCCAGGAGTCCAGGCCCCCAGCCCCTCCTCCCTCAGACCCAGGAGTCCAGGCCCCCAGCCCCTCCTCCCTCAGACCCAGGAGTCCAGGCCCCCAGCCCCTCCTCCCTCAGACCCAGGAGTCCAGGCCCCAGCCCCTCCTCCCTCAGACCCAGGAGTCCAGGCCCCCAGCCCCTCCTCCCTCAGACCCAGGAGTCCAGGCCCCCAGCCCCTCCTCCCTCAGACCCAGGAGTCCAGGCCCCAGCCCTCCTCCCTCAGAGCCAGAACCCAGCCCCCAGCCACACTTTACATGGGGCCTCATCCATTTCACTCCTTTGGCCTTCTCTGAGTCCGGCCCCAGCTGGTCATATCCAAGGGCATCAGGGCCAGCAGGGAAGTAGGGATCACGGAACAGGATCCCCTCATCCAGGCAGGCTGCTTGGATTGCCTCATAGCTCTGGCCTCTAAAAAGCTTCGGGTCCTGGGCTCCAGGTCCTGCCTCCTCATCCACCAGCTGGATGGTGACCTTCCCACTGCCACACGCCATCTGGACACTCTGGGCTCACAGGCTGGCCCCAGGCCCTTTAACCTCTTGAGTCACGGAGGTGGGGCTTCCCCGCCAACTGGGCTCCGATGGGGGTCTTTACGCAGTGAGAAGCCTTCCCTCATTAACACTAATTGATGGTTTGAGGTGCAGGGGAGCATGGACGCCTCTTCAGTGGTTTCCTTCCCAGGGCGTGGGGCCTTCAGTTGTGGCCAGGAGAGCAGCTTAATGGGCTTGGCCAGCAGCAGGAGAGGAGGGCAGAGCTGAGGGAGGACCGGCTGCCAATGTGGGAGTTCCTAGAAGGAGGTCAGTGTGAGGGGTATGTTTCTGCAAGCTTGTCCCAGCGTGTCCCTCTGTGGGGCTGGGAGGGCAGTGTGTCTCCTGCTCCCCTCTCTCCATCTGACATTTTCTCTCTGCCTGACATTATATCTCTTCTCCATCTCACTCTCTCTGTCCATCACTCTCATCTCCTTCTGTCTTTTTTTGTTTGTCTTTGTATCTCTCTTGTCTCCATCCCTCTCTTTTTTTTAAACACTGATTTTTCTTTCTTTTTTAATATATTTTTATTGACTTCAGAGAGGAAGGGAGAGAGAGAGGAACATCAATGATGAGAGAGAATCATTGTTTGGCTGCCTCCTGCACGCCCCCTACTAGGGATCAAGACACCTTTCCATTTTCACCAGCATGTGCCCTTGGCCAGAATTGAACCTGGGACTCTTCAGTCCGCAGGCTGACGCTCTGTCCACTGAGCCAAACCAGCTGGGGCCATCCCTCTCTCTCTCTCTATTTCTCATTGTGCCTATCTTGTGCATGCCTCACTGTCTGTGCCTCTTCATCCTTCTCTCTCTCCTTGTAACGCCTCAGTCATCCACAGCGGGACCTGAGCCATCGGGACGCCCATCTCCTGCCTTCCCGACAAGGCAGGCCTCAGCTTGGCTGCCCCAGGCAGGGCTAACAGTGGAAGGCTGGCTGCTCTGGGTTGAGAGTGGGGCCCACCAGGGACCATGATACCCTGCAGAGCCCACAACGGCTCAAGGTCTCCTTTGGGGGAGCAGTATTTCCCCAAAAGGGTGCTGGGCCATTGGAAAAGGGCAAAAGGAAGTGAGCAAAATAGTTCTGAGAGACCAGGAATTCAGCAGTTTTTGTCCCAGCAAACCTTCTGCCTTCAGCACAGGTCTCCTGCCCTGCAGGACCCGGTCACCTCTGTGGCACCCAGATCCCCTTCACCTTTCCTTCCAAATGTACCAATAGACACTCAGTCCCTCCGCTGTAAGGCCACCAAAAGGGTTATAAAACGGGCTTTCTTCCTGTAGACTTGTCAAGACCACCCCCACCTATGTGAGGCAGTGGCAGTGGTAGAATCCAGACTCTGCCACTTGGGTAAGTCACTTAACCTCTCTGTGCCTCAGTTTCCTCGTCTCTATTATGGGGGTAATGATAGGACCTACCGTGGAAGATTGTTGTGAGAAGCAAATGGTTAATATGCGGGACACATTCAGAGCTGCGCCTCAGTAAGCATCGGATGTGATGGGGACACATTCAGAGCTGCGCCTCAGTAAGCATCGGATGTGATGGGGACACATTCAGAGCTGTGCCTGACGCATGATAGGTGCCTCAGTAAGCATCGGATGTGATGGGGACACATTCAGAGCTGCGCCTCAGTAAGCATCGGATGTGATGGGGACACATTCAGAGCTGCGCCTGACGCATGATAGGTGCCTCAGTAAGCATCGGATGTGATGGGGACACATTCAGAGCTGCGCCTCAGTAAGCATCGGATGTGATGGGGACACATTCAGAGCTGTGCCTCAGTAAGCATCGGATGTGATGGGGACACATTCAGAGCTGTGCCTGATGCATGGTAGGTGCCTCAGTAAGCATCGGATGTGATGGGGACACATTCAGAGCTGTGCCTCAGTAAGCATCGGATGTGAGGGGGACACATTCAGAGCTGTGCCTGATGCATGGTAGGTGCCTCAGTAAGCATCGGATGTGATGGGGACACATTCAGAGCTGTGCCTGACGCATGATAGGTGCCTCAGTAAGCATCGGATGTGATGGGGACACATTCAGAGCTGCGCCTCAGTAAGCATCGGATGTGATGGGGACACATTCAGAGCTGTGCCTGACGCATGATAGGTGCCTCAGTAAGCATCGGATGTGATGGGGACACATTCAGAGCTGTGCCTCAGTAAGCATCGGATGTGATGGGGACACATTCAGAGCTGTGCCTCAGTAAGCATCGGATGTGATGGGGACACATTCAGAGCTGTGCCTGACGCACGGTAGGTGCCTCAGTAAGCATCGGATGTGATGGGGACACATTCAGAGCTGTGCCTGACGCACGGTAGGTGCCTCAGTAAGCATCGGATGTGATGGGGACACATTCAGAGCTGTGCCTGACGCACGGTAGGTGCCTCAGTAAGCATCGGATGTGATGGGGACACATTCAGAGCTGTGCCTGACGCATGGTAGGTGCCTCAGTAAGCATCGGATGTGATGGGGACACATTCAGAGCTGTGCCTGACGCATGGTAGGTGCCTCAGTAAGCATCGGATGTGATGGGGACACATTCAGAGCTGTGCCTGACGCATGATAGGTGCCTCAGTAAGCATCGGATGTGATGGGGACACATTCAGAGCTGTGCCTGATGCATGGTAGGTGCTCAGTAAGCATCGGATGTGATGGGGACACATTCAGAGCTGTGCCTGATGCATAGTAGGTGCCTCAGTAAGCATCGGATGTGATGGGGACACATTCAGAGCTGTGCCTCAGTAAGCATCGGATGTGATGGGGACACATTCAGAGCTGTGCCTCAGTAAGCATCAGATGTGATGGGGACACATTCAGAGCTGTGCCTGACGCACGGTAGGTGCTCAGTAAGCATCGGATGTGATGACTGCGTACTGAGGTCCCATCCGTGGGCACCTATCACCTCTAGCCCCTGTTTCTGCCACTTCCACAGTCACTTGCTCCATCCCATTATCAGTTCACATTCCCACCCTAGGAGGTCACAGCCATCTCCCCTTTTATTTGCCCCAAAGTACCACTCGCAGTAGGAGGAAGTTTTTAATAAAACCTGTCTGACATCTTGCAGTCACCAGGAAAGAGCTCCTCGTCAAAACTGCCCGTCAGATCACAGGCCTTTGGCCCACGGCCTTCCGAGCAAGCCTCTCCTGCCTCGTCTGCAGCCCTCCTGGCCTCTGCTCCTCCCAGCTGCCTGCTGGCTGCCAAGTTACAGGGCTCTGGTCACACCTCACAAACAAGGGTTCTTTTGATCCTCACTCCCCATTAGCACCCCTGACAGGCAGGTGTGACAGTGGGAACTGTAAGGATTGTTTCTGTAAATGGGACTCTGACTAATAAGCAGCTTGTAAGTAAACAGCACGTTTGTATCAGAATCCTAGGGACTAACTTCAGAAGATGCAGACTCGGACCTTCTGTTGTCCCAGTTCTGGGAGATTTGCTGACCTTCAAACATGGAGCCAGGATGACATGGAGCCAGGATGATGAGCACAGGATGACATGGAGCCAGGATGACGAGCACAAGATGACATGGAGCCAGGATGACGTGGAGTCAGGATGATGAGCACAGGATGACATGGAGTCAGGATGACGAGCACAGGATGACATGGAGCCAGGATGATGAGCACAGGATGACATGGAGCCAGGATGACGTGGAGCCAGGATGATGAGCACAGGATGACATGGAGCCAGGATGACGTGGAGCCAGGATGATGAGCACAGGATGACATGGAGCCAGGATGACATGGAGCCAGGATGACATGGAGTCAGGATGACGAGCACAGGATGACGTGGAGCCAGGATGATGAGCACAGGATGACATGGAGCCAGGATGACATGGAGCCAGGATGATGAGCACAGGATGACATGGAGCCAGGATGACGAGCACAGGATGACATGGAGCCAGGCTGATGAACACAGGATGACGTGGAGCCAGGATGACGTGGAGCCAGGATGACATGGATCCAGGATGACATGGAGCCAGGATGATGAGCACAGGATGACATGGAGCCAGGATGACGTGGAGCCAGGATGACATGGAGCCAGGATGACGTGGAGCCAGGATGACGTGGAGCCAGGATGATGAGCACAGGATGACGCGCACAGACATCACCCCGGGTGTGCAGGTCCTTATCGGAATGGATGCTCTGGCCTGCGCGTAGGGAACCTTCCAACCCTCCCCTTGGTCTCTCTGTTGTGCTTTCCCTCGCCCTCCCCATGGAACCTCTGCCTGCACTCAGACAGGGAGATGGGCTTTGTGACAAGAGTCCCCCATCTCCTCGGCGGCTGACACTTGAATAAAACCTCTTTCCTTTTTCACTAGCACTTGGTTTGCAGGGTTGGCAGGCGGCAGAACCTGGCTCCGGTTTCACTGTGTCCCACATACGCCTTCCCGGGCCAACGTGAGAAAAGGCGCTGATGCGCTGTACTGGGTGTCTGCTGCTCTGTGAGCCCAGCATCCCCTGCCTCTTTTTCTGGAATCACCCCTCACCCCTCACCCCCATATGTTTTCAGGATCCACCTTAGTCTCAAGCCATGCAGCTCTGGCAGGGCTGGCTTCTCACCACACTCCAGGGAAGGACGGCCGACCCAGACCAGCACTGGGAGCAGCGCAGTTCCTGCCACACCCCATTCGGGGCCTGGAGACGGGACTGGGCTTCTCTTTCCTGGGGCTAGCCTGGCGGGATGTGAGCAGGGAGTGGCAGGGGAGACCCTGCCTGAGAAGGAGGACAGTGTGGGGCTGAGCAGAGCCAGGTGATGGGGAAAGAGACAAGATTCCCAGGAACAGAGCCCCTCAACAGGGAGGTGCTGGCAATCAGACTTGTACATGAAAGGAGGCTATAGTGCCCTGGGACGGCAGCTCCCTTGGTTAGAGCGCCCGCAGGGGGTGGGATCCACTCTGGTCGGGCACATGCAAGCATGAGCCAATGAACGCATAGAAGATGGAGCAACAAATCGATATTTCTCTCTCTAAAAATCAATAAATAAAGCCCTGGCTGGTGTGGCTCAGTGCTGAGAGTGGCGGCCCACGCACTAATCAGATTTGATTCCCCGTCGGGAAGAGGACGTACCTGGGTTGCAGGATCAATCCCAGACCCAGTAGGGGCCATGCAGGAGGCAACCAATCGATGTGTCAATCTCACATCTCTCTCTCTCTCTCCCTCTCTCTCTCTCACTCTCTCTCTCTCTCTCTCTCTCTCTCTCTCTCTCTCTCTCTCTCTCTTTTTCTCCCTCCCTCCCTCCTCCCTTCCACTCTCTCTGA